TTGTTAAGGAGAGTTTCAACAACTATTCCAAAGTAAATTTGTGTTTATTTATCGGCCTTTGTTTTTACCGTGATGGTACCCAGGGGGGTGAAAGTACCCTAATGTCACACCGAGGATTGTTCATGCATTGCAAACAAGTGATTGTGTTGAATTCACGAAAGGTTTTTGTTTGATTCAAGTAATAAGACAAGATGTGGTGATCTCTTGATTATGATGTGTACATGTGTGAGTGAATAAAATATAAATTTATCTTCATCGTCACAGGTTCATTTTACAGTCCTTCTTTCAGACGGTGTTTCCTAATTTAAAGGGCGGTGGGCGTCGCGCTGCGCATGTGCGACATTTGTGTTGATAAACATTGATTTTCCCATAATCCAATGTGCCATTCTAACAGTAATCGCGAGAATGAGGTTTGACCTGGACACGACTTGCACTAATTACGCCGGTGATTCTTCGATACCTTACAATCACCTAAAAAAATACCTAATTAAAGCTTGGTAGCGTCTCAGTTTGAATACCCAAGGTTTTCAAACACACTATATATTATGCAAAAAATGGTCCTAAAAGATTGTTGGTTTCTGCTCATCACTAAACACAATTATCTGAAATTTGGACTTCGTTAGGTCAATGTTGCTCACACGATATTTTGTGTTGAGGATATGACGTTTGCGCTATCAGTATTTGCAGTACTTTATCATTTATGTACAACCTTTCAATTTATGCAAAGCATTTAAAATTGGCAGGGACGGGATGGCCATCAGCAATCGTAAATTTGGTACGAGGACAAATAATGTAGATATCTTTTTTTAGACAGATAACCAGGAGAGTATATTGCCCTCTACGGTTGGAAGTGAGTAGATATGTTCAGAAGTTCGTGGTTAATTTTTTACACTGATAAAAACATATGCATTTCTAAAGATGTAATAAAGTGTATCGGGTAATAATAATAATAATAATAATAATAATAATAATAATAATAATAATAATAATAATAATAATAATAATAATAATAATAATAATAGCTATTGATTTTATATAATCAAGTTGTGTTAGACAGTGTGATTAGTACAAAACCACACAGGACCTTTTTGTTTTTGAGTTATAAATCACTCCAAAGTATACTACATTGCAAGGTATTCTTGGGGCAGCTAGTTTTCTAATGCCAGTGTTCTTGTGTTAGATAATATTCAAACAATGCGTACGAAGATATCATTTGCTCATGGCCTACAAACACATCACACTTTTTTTTTTTTTTTTTTAATATTTTTTTTATTATTTTTTTTATTACCCAATGTGGGTAACACATCACACTTACCATGTCGTGCTGCACCAGGTACCGTATATGTTCACGAACACCGCTGGACATCAAATTTGATGTGAATCCTAAAAATATCGTACAATTCGTTTTCTTTTTCTTGAATGGATATGGAACATCGGATACGTGTTGAATTGGTTCAGCTTTCTTTTTTATCTGCAAAATAAAACGACGTAATAGACAATTTCGCCATACAAGACTTCTGTCCATTAGCTAGTCCAATCACAGGGAGGTCCAGTAACTATGATCAACTGTACGCAGTCTCTGTAAGCTGGGGGGGGGGGGGTAGGTATCGGCTAGTATGTAGTGTAAGAGCTCCGCCAGCTAACATTTTCTAAACTCGAAAAAACAATCAAACAAATTGAAAAATACCAGCTTGAAGATTATTGGTTGCTCTTTCAATTTCGCCAAAGCCTTACCTATATTTTACCGATATCTGCAGAATAAATTAAGAAAACTACACAAATTTACATTTATGAATAATTAACGTTTGCCTTGAAAGCACCGCACAGTTGGAGGCGTGGCTTATTCAGAATATGTTAACAACCAATCACAAGACTGGTTACGAACCACACCGAGTTAACGACTCGGTTAGCTTCGTTCAACTGGTTCGTAACCACATGTAAGTGTTACATATTGTCATCTGTGATGTAAAATGTCACGTGACGTAAGGTCTTCAAACCATACAACTTATTCAAGTTATTGATGCATAGTATAGTTTTATCTTACCATTTTGTTGATCTCTTTGACTGCCAATCCAAAATTTGTCGCTTGAAATCCCGAAGTTGTATAACTTTCCAGCAAGGCCTGGTAATCAATGCCTTTATTGAAGTCATAACCCTCGACTTTTACTGAATCTTTAGTGACGTCCTTAGTTTTGCGAAAAACGGTTCCTTGCGCCCTCTTGATTGCATCTGGTAAGTCCGCTGAATATGCCCTTGCGGAGACCAACGACACGTGTCGTGGCAGAACTTCAAGTTGTTTGGTGGACTTCCCTATGAGTCGTGGTATCAATCCAGATCGACATCTAATTGCGTGAATACAAGCTGCATTCATAAGAAAGCAATTAAGAACGGGTATTTTTTTGGTTACCAGCCAAACCTCACATTGTGCCAAAAAAGTGCCCCCCTCTGTATTACCAAATGTCCTTTAAATATTATAGCCCACGCAGTTTCGCGCATAATGACCATGTCAACATCATCGCCCTGTTTCGTGATCCAAACATAAGGTCGAACAAAGGTCGTGTACAATGTTCATATTGATTTCTCTTCAAAAGTGATAAACATATATTTATATATATTCGTCTATTTTCACCCAAAACGTGCACTACAATGACGTGTTTGGGGCTGTAAAATTGTTTACTTGAATGGACATGATATACATTGCATTTACCTTGATTTGCCATAATGTCCTAAATGGTTTAAGACCACGTACCAGTATATTTACGCCTGTGCATTAAATGTATAAACACATATATACACATACAAACATGGACACATTGTAAACAAATTTACCATTTTCCGTACACTGCGAGATCCCGCGTTATGCGTGAAATAGAATGTAAAACAGGACAAACAAAGGTCGTAGTAGCGACAAACATGGTGTAGGTTTCGACAAACGCGAAAATATTTTTGGGGATATTTCCATGCTTAATAATATTCTGTACACATTTATTGTCTATTTCGATTAGGTAAGGGTATTCAAACGCAATATTTCTCTGTCAAAGATTGGCCGGTCGATGTGAGCTACGAAATAAAGAAATTCGAGTTCAAAATCAAATCGTTCGATTTTTACGGCAGACGTTCGGCGCGCGTCTTTCAAGCAACCAGCGAGATCTCGCAGTTGAACGGAAAATCACCTATTGCCTGAAAATGTATGACACGCTGAACAAATTGCAAAGAAAATGGTCTTTAAATATGCTCAATAAAAGACTACTGTGGAATACTTTATTTTCGCTGGAATTAATTTTCGCTGAAAAGGCTTTTTGGGCGTTCTGTATGGAATTTATTTTCACTCATTTTTGATGAGTTGAATGTGAAATATTGGAAAAAAAAATATTTTCACGGAATCATCTCGTCCGCGAAAATAGCGAAAATAAATTCCAGGCGAAAATAAAGTATTCTACAATTACATTTGGTTTTCATATTTTAGAAAATATACCTGATCCTGTAATGGTTATTAGTTTAACAAAGTAATACTAGTGTGACAATTTCTCGCCATCATGGGTGTATCAGTGGTGCAGTGGAGGCAGAAAATGTTTTGTGCAACCCGTACAAAGAATGCAGAGATGTGACAGCGGCAGCCATTCAGGTGAGACCGAAAGATTAGACCCAAGTCTCGCTGTACGATTGATGCTATTCTTTAGTTTACTATCTTGTGGCGATGTTGAATCGAACCCTGGTCCTAACCCCAATAACCCCGCAAAAGGAGGATATAATACTAGATTACAACAGTCGACATTGTCTTTTGGTTCAAACACTCAGGAATCATCAACGCACGTACTAGAAACAAACTACGCGGATCTGAATATCGTATTTCTGAAGATTTTTCGCCTATGGTTCGCAAAGCAAGATGAAAACTAGGATCATTGCTAGTGAAGGCAAGAGAAGACGGCAAGAAAGCGTCCATGAAATATGATAAGCTATTAATTGATAATGATATTTATGTGTATGACGACGAAACTGATGAAATTAAGCAAATTAAGAACACATAGAGGTATGGCCAAGGCCAGTATATGTACCCAAATAATGTTACTAATAGTTATATTCACTCATCTACTTTGTCATGTATTGTGTGGAATGTGAACGGTCTGAAAACTAAATGCACCAATCCTGACTTTCTGCTATTCTTATCTAAATATGACATTATTTTTCTTACTGAAACATGGAGCACACCTTGAAAGCAAATTTGAAATTAATGTTTATGAAAGCTACCACAATTCACGTATCAAGCGCATGCGCTACGGTCGTACTTCTGGTGGCATTAGTATCTTATATAAAACAAGGTATTTTAATGAGATGAAATTTTTAAACAGTGAAGCGACTGATAGTATTGTCTGGTTTCTTTGCAGCACTGGTGATTCAAAATATTGTTTTGGCATTGTTTATTTTTCACCCCAGTATTCTAGCAGTTATTCTAATGAAATAAATTTTCAAATTTTGGAGGATGAATTGGCAAATAATACTTCTAAATATACGGAATATACATTTTGTTGTTGTGGCGACTTTAACGCCAGAACGGCAACGGAATCAGACTTTACTGAACATGATAAAAGGGATTTTTTCGCTGATCAAGTAAATATGTCAGAACCTGAGTTACCAAAAAGGTCTTCCCAGGATCGTGCAATTAATCCATTTGGCCATTTATTACTAGATTTATGTAAAAACTCTAATTTAAGAATTTTTAATGGCTGATTATTTGAAGATAAAAGACTAGGCCATTTTACATGTATTAAACCTACAGGTGCCAGTGTAATTGATTACGTCCTAACATGTTATGACAATTTTGAACTGTGTAGTGATTTTTCCATAGTTAATAGACCCGATTCTGACCACATACAACCACATTTACACTGAAAACGCTAACCCAAAATGAGAACGAATCCTCAATTGAGGGCAGTATTTTTACTAGATATAATTGGAATGTATCAAAAAAGGATCAATTCCATTCATTTTGCAAAGGTGAAACTGCAAATCTCTTGGTAGAAAGATTTCACACTTTAGCAAATATGGGAAATACTATTGAAGCTGCTAATATTTTATCTGTTTTGTTATTTAACGCGGCTGATGGCATGAAACGTAAATGTAAATTGCCACAGACTATAAGAAAGTTTGATAAGAAAAGTAATTGGTTCGACGATGACTGCAAATATATGAAGCAACAGACCAGGAAAGCCCTGAATTAGTTTCGAAATTGTAGATCTGTTGTTAATCTTGAAAACTATATTACTCACAGAAGCAATTATCGTATATTGCTAAGGGACAAAAAGAAACTATTTAACAATCTCAAAAAACGTGAACTTTACATCTCTGCA